TTGTAGGATTTTAAGCATAACCTTGCTAGCGTGTGAAATGAGTGCAATTGTACAGTAGTTGGAGCATTCTTTGGCACTTCCCTTCTTTGGGATTGGGATGTAGACTGATCTTTTCCAATCCTCTGGCTACTGCTGAGTTTTTCATTATTGATGTTTAAAAAAAAATATAGCGCACTGGTCTTTAGTATTGGGCTGTGGCACCAGGGTGGGTGACATGACCTTTAGCCTGGTTTGTTCCTTTTTGCACACCACACAGAATGATTAAAGTGCTAGGAACCCCCCCCCCAACTCTGTGTTGGCTGTCTCTAGCAAACATGTCATTGCTAGCACAACTCAGGCAGCCATTGATGATGCAATTTGCTAGGCACGTTGGACATCTTACTACTCCCTATACCACCCCATGGCTGGAGTGCAATGTGTTCCAGCAAAAATAGTGCACATCTTTATTAAATTTGGTGCATTCTGCTAGTTTGGTACATAGCCTGGCAGCCATTGATACTGAGTATATATCCTGCTAGTTTGGTACACAGCCTGTGTAGATTCAATAATATTTTGAATTCAAATAATGTATGATTTCCTTCCTTTCAAATCAAGGGGGTAATGTCGGCATATATAAAATTTTGGGGGGGTAAAAGGTAAAAAAGTTCCCTGACCCCTGGTGTAGAGATACTTCCCTAATGATATTGGAACATATAATATTTCCAATATCCTTGCATTAAACTATTTAGGACTTTTCAAGTAACAACCAGCATCTTGAATTATGTTTAGAAACACACCTAAAATGAGTGAAATTGGTTGAAGACCAGAGTTATGTCATTTATAACATATGCACCTGTCAAAGATGGAGTCATGACACTTTTTACTACATGAAGTTTCTGGATACTTTCCAAGGATGTCTGAAGTAGGATGTGTTACAGTAGCATATGCAAGAGATGATTAAACCATGAATTATTGCGGCCAATGTGATTATGACAAGTATCAAGCCTTTTTCAAAACCATTAATATCCCACCACCTACTTTCTTTTCAAACTTTTGTTCTCAGAAGTAGCAGTTATTTGGGAAAAGAAGGAATATTGAGCATGTTTGTCATCTTTCTAAAAGCATGCTGTTGGTCACCGCCGATTGATGAAGACAAATATCCTTTGATCTACTGCATAGGTCTTTCACTCAGAAGAGTTCTTCTAACATTTCTAAAAAGATGAGCAATTCTGTGATTAGATACCAAGGTAGGAAGAAGGCCTACAGCTGTCATCCTGAAAATGAAATGTTCTGGGACAGTAATGGGAGGAGGTCTGAAACAGTGCAACAATTATTTCATGCCAACCTGCATTTGTGAAGTTTTTTGAACATCAAAGAACTGTTTCTTGACTCGTGATATTGAAGTTGGGCACATCTAAAACATTTGTACCTTTGATTTTAGCCCACAGATGTTATAACTGCAACCAACCCCCATTATTAAAGGGTGTACAAAAGGACACTCTAATTTAAAATGGGAATGCTCAACCCACCTTTTTAAAAAATCATCATGGATTTCCTCACCTTGTAATTCAAATATTCAACTACCGTATTTTTCCATGTATAAGATAACCCAATGTATAAGACAACCCCCATATTTCTCATCCCAAATTAGAAAAATTAATTGCTGCTTTCCCCCTCCACTCCCTAAGCTTCGTGAAAGCAGGATCAAAGGGCTGTGGAAGTGGAGGGGGAAAGCAGCAATCTTAGGAAGTGGAAGGGGAAAGCAGCCATGAAAGGACTGCAGGATCGCAGCCCTTTCATCCTGCAGCTCTTTCAGTCCTTTGATCACTGGTTTCCCCACCACTTCTTAAGCCCCGCAGGACTTAGGAAATAGAGGGGGAAAGCAGCCATGAAAGGGCTGCCGGATGAAAGGGCTGTGATCCTGTGGGGCTTAAGTGCAGCCCTAAGTGCAGCCCTTTCAGCCCTTTGATCGCTGGTTTCCACACCACTTCTTAAGCTGCGATCCTGCAGCACTTTGATCCCTTTCCCCCTTACTTCTGTGTATAAGACGGCCCTCAATTTTTAGTGTAAAGATTTTAAATAAAAGTATCATCTTAAACATGGAAAAAAATATGGTATTGACTGCTCCAGAACTGATGTATGGGAATGATCTCAGTAGCTTATCAAAAAAGGTTGACTTTTTTCAATCTTATTGTAAAATGTTTAACTATTACCTTGTTCCACCTATGTGCAGGCTAATTAGAATAAAGGTCAATCACACAATACTGTGTTGGTAAGATTCACTACTTGACCAGGGAGTTGGATTGAATGGCCTTCAAGGCCTCTTCATTATTCTATGATTCTATCCCTCTGTAAATTAATTACTGGCATGGCAGCTTGAAAATGGGGAAACTAGTATAGTTGAGGAAGGGCTCAGAGATGGACATATAAACACAACATATAAAAGCAAAACATGTCCCAGAGATGTGTTACTATATGTCCCAGTGACAGTATCTGCTTTTTGATTTTGAATATACAGCTATGAATTCTATGTAGTTCTCAATATGAGAACTGCATTTTCATAACACACACAAAAAGTTGACATCTTGGAGCAAAATTATATATAATTATTTAGGACTGGCTTACTTGTTTTAAATACATATACACAGACACTATGGACAAGATACAGCTGGATTATGACTGTATTTTAGTGAGGAAACAATGAACATTTGCTGCCACACTTTGCTTCTAACTAGAATCACATCCTGTGCCTGCCATTCATTATGAGAAGAAAATGGTTGTTTGAAAATACCAGGTATCATAAATGTTTTGTGAGCAGAACACCTTTCCCCTTAAATCAGAGCTGCCGCTAGCTAGTGTTTGAAACATTTCCAACTGGAACTTGAAAAATTATAACCCTTCTTCCTCTGTTCCTTTTCAACTCCCATTTTATTCTAACATTCAGACAGAGGTTTTTTTTAATAACCCACTACAAAACGTTTGAAATTTGCTTCCTATTTCCACGGCAAATATTTACTATGTTTAAAGAGTCATCTCTAGAGATGTGAATGTCCCCGCGCAGCTGGAATTAATGAGGGACCATCCCCCTGGGGCTATAGCATCCACTAACACGTCCGCCAGCGGTGGTGACCTTGAGGCTGCCACTGCTGGTGGACATGTGAGTTAACTCCTGCTGCACGGGGATATTCATGTTCATATACAAATACCCCCATCTCTAGTCATCTCCCAAAGGTGTATTTGTGAAGTTTATAATGGACATTTCCTGTTTGAAAGCAGAATTACAAAAAGACTTGCATTAGCAGAAAGGATTTCAGATACAATTAGTTTGAAAAAGTACTAACCACAAGACCCAGCTACAGTTGAGTATTTCACGCTATTGCTGTTGAAGTCAAAACTGCATTAGTTGAGGATGCATCATCCCATTGCAGAACACTAATTATTCCTGACATTGGACTTCAACAGCAGCTTTCAGATACTTAGTCATTAAAGGACAATAGGTGACAAACCTACTGTCAAGATCCTCACACACTTATTGCTTTGCTCAACTCTGTAGTAGAGAGATAGGCTAAAGGTAGAGACAGACACGAACCTCAGTTCAGATGTTCATGCTGAACGTTGCCTTCCCCTGCCTCCCTGACTGAATTCTTCACTCTCCTCCTCCTCTCCAGCTGTTCAACCAGTCTCCACCAAGAGAATCGACTTCCCTGCCCCACCTCCTTGGCTGATCGCACACTCAGATAAGGAGGCAGGACAGGCCAACCTGTGCTCCTGCTGGGGACTGGTCATATGGCTGAAGAGGAAGAAGAGGGATGTGCATGCCGGCTGGTGAGTAGGTCATTGGTCTGGGAGGTGGGGGAAGGGAACTTGAGATACCTTTGGTGCCATGCGTACAAACAGGCACAAACCTCTGAACCAAGGTCTGTGCCCATCTCTAGTCAATGCCATTTGCTTGTCAGAGTGGACATCATTAGGTTGAAAGTGACACTACACTTTTTTTCAAACAAGATCCCCACCTCCTTGGCTGATCGCACACTCAGATAAGGAGGCAGGACAGGCCAACCTGTGCTCCTGCTGGGGACTGGTCATATGGCTGAAGAGGAAGAAGAGGGATGTGCATGCCGGCTGGTGAGTAGGTCATTGGTCTGGGAGGTGGGGGAAGGGAACTTGAGATACCTTTGGTGCCATGCGTACAAACAGGCACAAACCTCTGAACCAAGGTCTGTGCCCATCTCTAGTCAATGCCATTTGCTTGTCAGAGTGGACATCATTAGGTTGAAAGTGACACTACACTTTTTTTCAAACAAGATCTCTCCTCTATTTATGAATTAAAAACAGGAATCCAAAAAGTGATTTGAAAAAAGGGGTAACTAGGCCAACTTTACTTTTTCATGCAAACTGAACGGTTGAATGATTTATCACAGAACAGAATAATCTCAGAATAGTTTCATGCCAGTATCCCTTAAAATACTTCCAGAGCCATGTTTTGTGGATGCTACGTTCACAGTCAATAACTGTTTGAACACTTATTCATTTTTAACATTAAGAATTGCTTTGTGGAATCAATTCAAATTTCAAAACAAATCTCTCTCACTCACTCACATACACACACAAACACGCATACCATTGTTTGAAAGCATTAATTCGGTTTGATTTCCTACTTTTCTTTTCTTAGATACATTTTCATCTCTTTCTGAGCATTTTTGTAGGATTGCTGTGCTGGCTCCCTTCGTCTAAGAAGGAATACTACATGCCAAAGACAATCATTTTGAACTCTCCATTCATGTCCACCACCTCAACCTCAAAATAATAATCAGTAAACCCAGCCAAGATGAAAATGTTGCTATTGCCATAAACATCTATGGGTGGAATAATGCTTTATTTAACTATGGTCTTTCACTAGCTACAAAAAAAGAGATCTAATTTCTATCAGCTCAAATTCTTGTTATGGCAGGTATACTGGATGCACATTTTGGACTGATAAGAGTTTCCCAAATAAATAGGAATGCAAGTTATAAACTTACTGGACTCTGGATCTGAATTGCCATCTCCCTCTGTCCGACTGTTGGGTGATGTCTGTTCATAGTACTCCTCTTGGGGGAAACCAAGTGGTAAAGGGTGTGATGTACTTGCAGTGCTACTGGGTTCGTGGTCGCCTAGTCCACTGTCACTGCAACTTTCCTGAGACCCATCTGGCAGATGAAACGTAACTCGTCGCTGTGACTGCAGAGAGAAGAAAATCATAAAGTTCTAGTAATCCTTCCAAATATTTGCTGAATATATCCTACTACAGAAATGGATTATTTCAGTTATATCAAAAGGATCTGGCATCTATCCATGGTAGTTGTATATATATTTAAAGTGTTCCTTAAGCTAGTGTCCCCAACCTTTTTCGAACTGTGGACTGGTTGGGGGGTGGGATCAGTGGGGGGTACCCGTGCACTCGTGGGTGGGCATGGCACGTTCATGAGAGGGCATGGCACGTTCATGGGTAGGTCTGATGCACTCACACACATGCACAGGTGAGGGGCGCACTCACGGGTGGGAGTTACCATTCACACGCACACCCACCCGCAAGTGCACCACGCCCATCCATGAACACGCATGTGCACGAGCATGCCACACTCACCATGTGTGCATGCAGGGGGGCGGGAGATCTGTCTCCGTGGGCTGGTCCTGCTAAGCCCACGGACCGGCACCGGGCTGCAGACCGGGGGTTGGGGACCCTTGCATTAAGCTATTTTCTATGAATAATTGTATCTAACTTAGGCTCAGAGCCTAACTGAGATATAACATGTACTTAAGCAGAAATTCAAAAGCATGTAATTGTTTTCCTTTAGTTTAGATGATTGAAGATCAGACACAAAAATTGATTCAGCCTAATCATTCATGCCCGAACTGTTTTATTTTACTTTTGTGTGCATCTGTAATTTTGAAAAGATGTCCCAGAGTAGCTGAAAATAAAAACCAATCTCCCCCCCATTAGAGCAATAACTAAAAGTCATTAAACCCCATATCACTAAGACTATGTTTGTGGGAGGGAGAAAGATAATGAATGAAAAGAGGAAATAAGAGTCAGTGCTAGGCCAAGATCTCTGGGGAAAGAATTCAAAAAATGGGGTGTCACCACTCAAAAAGCTATGTTTCACTGTATCTCAGAAGGTATTGGGACACATCTATGCCAAATTTTTGCATATCCTGCTGTTAGAATAAATGTGTGCTGTCCACTGATAGTAACAAGGCTTTGCACCTGTGAATGAGAAAGAATAGTTTAACTCCCATTCATATCACAGGCTTCCTACCAGAATCTCTTGTCTTCTAAACAGCTTGGCAGTGCCACTAGTTTGGAATACAAGAACAGTGTTATAGGAAGCACGTGAGAAAATGCCTGGTAGATGGTTGTTGTCTTGTTATCTTCGTCATAAGGTGAAGTCCACAGGATATTCATAGGATCAAAGAACAAGTTATTCTGTTCGCACATGAGCAGGAAACCTTTGAAACTCCAGATCCTTTGGACTAAAATTCCAATAGTTCCATTGGCCTCTGCTGCTGGTAGTTCTAGCCAAAAGATGCAGAAGTTCACTTTTGGTACTAATTCATGCATCATTTAATAATATGAAATATATAATGGAATATTTAAATATATAATTATTGCATGATGATGATGATTATATAAAACAACTGGCACAAAGGGACCATATTACATGTTAAATATACATAATCCAATGTACACTTATGAAATATACATCTGTTTCTCTCTGCCTTCTAGAAGTTTAATTCACACATAGATACTCTGCAGAATTGTATGCAATAGAAATAGGAAGAGATCAAGTGGGACAGAATATTGTGACGCAAATATCCATAGAAGGCGAGCCTGATGTGGATTGAGAGAGATCCATCTGGTTTATTCCTCACATCAACATTATTCAAGGCTCTTCTTTAGAAAACCTTTTAGATGTTACTTTGAATTTGTCACAGAGAACAACACAGAGGATGAAAACATCCACTTTTAAATGAGTCAACTGAAAGCTTTTGTGCTCACAAGATAATATATGTCAAATTACAGTCAGATTATTTTTTATATATCTAAACACAAAACTGATATTTAAGATCTTAGGAGTTCAGAAGCTTAGAGAGAAATAAGAATGACAGTGTTGAATGACTGTTTTCCACCCAACGTAAACAAGTTTTTTATTTGTTTGCCATGTTTTCTTCCTAGACATTTGACTGTAATGAGGGAATTATTGTGTGTTTGTTTTCAAAAAAGAAAAATACACCCTGCTGTCCAATTGATCAAGAATACATTTTTAATTGATCAAAAGTGTCCTTAATCAAATAGCTAAGTAATAGACAAATGCTGCAGCACTTCAAAGAAAGTAGGATAAAAGTAAGAAAAGGGGGAACATTGTTTTTGCTCCACTGGATGCCCTGATTATGTTCCCCACCCCAAAGAATGTTAAATGTCAAAGAAAGGTTTAAAACAAATGGGAGACATTTCTCATGCAACCCTACTATAGGAGATAAGAATTCTGGGATGAAGCATATTCTTGTACAACCTCTGCTTACTGAAATGTGCTCACCTGGGAAAGGGTTGGGCTGGAAGGCTTTAGGGCCATCAAGGACAGACATAGATCTCCAGCCTTAGCTGCTTGTTAGAAAGAGAAGTTGCCCTGGTGCTTGCCGGAAACAGGCAACTATAGGCCCAAGTTCTGCCTGTTCTTGGCCATAAAAGCCTTCTACGCCATTCTTTCTCCATTCTTGCCTGTTCTTGGCCATAAAAGCCTTCTACCCCATTCTTTCTCCAGATGAGCATAATTTAGGTATGAGTCTGGCAGGTAAAAGTCCCAGAATAGAAAATCCTTGGATCTGGACTTATATATATATATGAAAGGGATACATTCCTAGTTCTCGTACCCCTTACTCCACCCCCAAAAAGCATTCCACCCCAGTCTCTACATTCCACCTGCTCCGTATGCTAGATTTCACCTGGTCAAGACCAAAATCTCACTCATATCTGGAAATTTAGAAAATCTGGACCTTCTATCTATAACAATGCAAGTCCCCACAGTGAACTGAAATCTATGTTGTCCAGGCAGACTAGGTCTTTGGTCTGTCAAAAAAAGATAACTTACACTGCCTGTTCACTTTCCTCTCTGATTATTTTGCAAGAAACGGATCTGCTACTTGACATGGAAATATTGTGTATTACAAAGTATATACATTATGTAAAAAACCACAGTCATAAATAGTGAAGATGGCTGAGACATCAGCTGAACTCATACTGAGCTACCAGCTATACCGAATCTAAGCCCCTTCCAGCTCAAGGATGCTAGACCCCTTAAGAGTGTCCTCACACAGACCTAATAGTATGGATCATGTGTAAATAAGGTCTTCCATCTTTTTTTTTTAAATGATTTGGCTTTTCTGCCAAGCAAAGCATTTCTGGTGACAGATTGTTCTGTTGGCAGTTCTTTGACATCAACCAGCAGAAGAGAGTTCTGCTGGTAGAAGTGTTGTGATGGTGACAGATGAAGTTAAATTGTGAGTCACACCAACCTGCAACAGCCATTAGGATTGCAGCGTAGGAGCCTTCTGCCTCTTCAGTCCAAAACTTCCCTCTTGCCTTTTTAGCTCCTTTACCTTTTTACTCTTGATTTTTATTTTGTCCAAGTATACTTGCATACATTCATTCCAAACCTACCTAAGTACCTATAGCTTGTTGTAATATATTTAATAAAAACAGGATGGAATCATTATTCTGTTGCTATGTATACTCACTCCCTTTGAAAACAAGCATGGAAATAGCTGGAGTCTGAGGATACAGTATTTTGTAATAAATTTCAAATTGAAATGCCTCAAGGAAGAAGTTTCAAAAATAAATGTGACAGAAGTGAAGTCCCTGTTTTGAGGCAAAATTCCATTAGCATGTCTTGTTTGAGATTGCTGTGGTGATGTTTTGAATTCAGGAAAGCACAACTGTTCTGCTTTTTGGGAAGAGGGAAGAACCCTTGTCTGTTAAACAACACCTGTAAAAGGTAAATGGTATAGAATGTTTCTGATTTTCCTTGCATGGTTTCAAGTACTGTAGGTGGAAAATGTACAGCCTCCTTTGGAAACAGAACCTTAGAATTGGTGGGGAAAAGGTTGTGTTGGCAACTGACAAGTAACTGTACAAGAGCAGTAAGGGTGTGGAACCTCTTTCAGCCAAAGCACCAACTTCAAAGTTGGCGAAGTTCTCAAGCAAAAATTGAGTCACGGACGGTCTTGCAGAGTTTTGAGTTTTGGTTAAAACGTGCAGGGATTACAAAGCAGAATTACGTTTACATCTTCCCACAATAACTCACTCTGAGTAAGAGAAAGAACAAAAAGGTTTCATTTACTCAAACTTGAATAGCTCAACACCGGTATACAGTGGGGTCTTGACTTAAGAACGGCTCGAGTTAAGAACATTTTGACTTAAGAACCACTCTCATAGGAAAATATTGACTTGACTTACATACTTAGATTTGAGTTAAGAACTGAAAAAAACCACGTGGGAGGCAAGGAAAGTGCAAAATTTGAACTTTCAGTTAACTGTTGGCCAGTGAAAAGGGTGCCTGTCTGCTTCCTCACTCCTCCCAGCGTTTAGAGAGTGGATTGGGAGTCTTCAGACTGCCTGGTACTGCCTGGACTGTATTTTCCCTGCCTTCCCTGAACCTTTCTTGACCTAAGAAAAAAAGAAACAAAATATCCCCCTCTAGTGGTCGAAGGCAGAATAGCAGCTTCCCATTAGTTTCTATGGACGGAAAAGAGCAGATACGGATCAAATGGTTCTCAATGCATTCCTATGGGAAATGCAGATTTGACCTGAGAACTTATTGACTTGAGAACCGTCTTCCAATACGGATTAAGTTCTCCAGTCAAGACCCCACTGTACAGTACTGTATACGGTACAAAATGACTGCTTACAGCAATGGGTCTCAACAGATTCATAGCCTGCTTCCAGCCGACTCCTGCTATATTCTAACAGCACTAGCCCCTAACTGCTAACTACATAATTGCCAGCAGATTAAAAAGAAAAGTCATTAAAGCAGAACAGATATCAGATCAGTTGTACTATATGCTTCTTTTTTCCTAGTCCAAATTCAGAACAGAATGGCCAACAGAGAAAACTTGTCTTAAAGTTGCATCTAAAGATGCCCTGGGGACAGACTGTCAGAGGCACTGAATATCAAGAAATTCCA